CTTTTTTGCTTTGGGTCTTGTTGTCTGAAAATTGTTTATTTATATATATATATATATATATATATGTATGAAGGAAAGCTTATTTAATGTAAATCGTGCACATATCTAGTGAAAGAAGTGTTTGTTTTTTAGGAATTTTTGAAGGAACAATTTTGTAGTCTTAGTGACCATAAACTGAAAATTTTGGCAACAAGACTAAAGAGAGCAGTTGACACAGAAAAACTCTACAATGCTGTAAGTGTTTTTATAGTTTTTTGTTAATCATTTATTTAAATATTGGTAGCTAAATAATCTCGTGAACCTGAGCTTTTGGACTGGCAGAGATTTTTTTTACACTGTCAGTGTTATATTAATTAATTTTCAGATTATACATAACATTAAATACTGTCATTGAAGCGTGTATTATGATATAAAAATTGTTTATTATCAAATTGTAATTTTATACAAAAAAAAATAAAGTGGAAAACTTAATAATATGATCTGACATAGTCATTTATATACATTTTAAAACTACCAGAATGTTTTTTTCTTTTTATGCAAAATTTATTAACAGCCATTTTAAATGCAATGCCTAATTGTAACAGGTTATGATAGTTTTATGATAAATATAGATGAAAGATATAAAATGTTAAAGAATTGAAAATGTTAACATTTGTATGTAATGAAGTTGTCTTTTGATTAATTTAATGTAATTTTTTATTAAGCTGTTAAGTTTTGAATTTTTATTACACATATCAGTATACATTGCAGTACATATGTATGACAGTAATAAAAGCAAATTAGTGTATGTTTTCACTTTTATTTTTTACTTAGAATCTTTAGCTATTGAATAAACTTGGTACTCTGATGTTTTACAAGCTTAATAAAGAGAAATAGACAGTATCCAGTGAAAATTCTTCATTTCTTCAAAGTTTCACCTTATGACTTCAAGAGGTAGACACCCTACTAAATACAACTCAGTCTCAACAGATTAATGTTTTGTTAAGATTTGGGTTTGTTTAGTGAAATGTTGAGAAAATAAAGAATTTTTAGTGGATACTTTCTGTGTCTCTTCATTAAGTTTGTTTACATTCCAGTGTGCACTACACTACCTCTGTTTTACAAGTAGTTTTATAAGGTAAAATACATTGTTGTTTTGTAACAATATGTCATGCATAATTCAAACATAAACTAAAAAGATGTAATCACAGATACAGTTAATATTTCTATTTGTTCTTTATGTATGTGCAGCTACATCTAGCAGAGTGGAATTTTACAATTGCTAAACAAAAAGTTTCAAAACTCATCACTGATGTGAGTATTAAGGATTTCTGTTATCATTATTGTAATCACTAGAATTATTTTACATACTTTCCAAATTGACACAATGCGTATTTTTTAAACTAGCTTGAAAATTACGAGCAAGGCCAAAAATAAAAGATCTAGTGCCTTTTTTCAAACGTTTGTCAATTTATTTATTTTGTATTTGTTCTAGCAAACATTCCATCATAAGCATAATTTTAAATAGTTTTTACTTGTTAAAAAAAATCTGTTTATAGAAATACATGAATATGCAAACGCTTTTTCAAAGCTGTGGCTATTGATGTAATGTAATATCCCGTTTCTTGTACTTCTTGAATTATTGTAGTTTGGAAGGTACTTACGTTAACATAACTATACCTGTTTTTTACTTTTTTTTTAATCTAAATCTTGATAGCAGTTATATCTCTGCTGTTAATAATTGATCATGAATTTAGTCATTCAGTATATTTATTTTTACATAAACAAGTTGTCATGTTCGATGACGAGGAACCCACTTTGAGACTAATAATGGCTGGAGACGGCTTAAATGGGTAATGAAGAACTTATATTAAAGTTTTTCATCATTACCCATTTAAGCCGTCTCCAGCCATTATAAGTTGTCATGTTTTTTATGTGTTTACCTTTGATAAATGATTTTCATTATTCTTCATAACTAATGTATATATCTTTGTTGCTGTAATACTTATATACCAGTAGTACATTGTTAGATGGTACCAAGTGTTGAGGAGAACTACCCTTTGGGCTGTTCTATAAACAACTTAAAAACTGGAAGTTTGTCACTTAGTGCTAGACTTTACCAGAGCTATTTTTAACTAAGATATTAACCCTATTACCACGTGTATCCTTTACTGTGCATGACACGTCTTACATTCAAAATTTTATTAAACTACTTTTTGTTTATGTTATGCTAATTAGTATAGCAAATAATCCATATTTTAATAATATATAAGTTTAGTTCTTAATTCTATAAGGCAATATTTAAAAAATCCTGAATTTCCACTAGTGTGATGCACATGATACATTTTCTCTATGTATTTTCTCTTCTCTATTTTATCCACCACCCCTCCAGTAACTATAAAATTAAATGTAAATTACTCACTATAAAATCTCCATTGCTCAGACTAACCATAATTTTTATAGCCTTCAATTTTGTTTGGTTACAGAGCTATCAAATAGAAAATCAGACCCCTCCTGTCATACACACCTGTCACATCTTCTTTTTCAGGATTTGTTAATAGTTCTCTTACATTTAATTACATATTACCAGTAACCAATAGAAAGCCAAGGTTTTCATCTATCAAATGACATATTATATTATGTTGTGTTCTGAACAGATAATCGTCAATTTCACTTGTGATACAGACTTCATTCCCATGGAAAACAGATTGACTATCTTGGATGAACTTGTAATGGCTCTTGTCGCATAGTTAGAAAACCAAAAAAATGTTGATTGTTAGAGGAAATTGTCTGCTTTTGCATATTATTATTCTATGTTCTTTGCATTATTTGATTAAATATAAATTATTTAATGCACTACTACCATTAGTATAAAAAAAAGTAGGGTTAAGTGTCATCAATAGTTGACAGCATAAAAAAATTAATGCGTGGGTAAATACTTTATTTCTTGTTTTTCATGTTTATTCTTTATTTATTATTATACAAGTAACTAAAATGTAAAAATAAGGATCTCTTTAGGTTAGTTATAGTTATATTAGGTAAAATAAATTATTATAATAATATAATATAAATATTTCACAATGCATGCGAGCAGCTCAGAGTAGCTTGTGTTATGGTGATTCGATAGGGTATAACGTGAGCTGCTAGTTTCCCAAGTGATTTACAACTTATAATGGCAGGAATAGTAGTTAGACATGTTTCAAAGGGCAATCAAAAGGACAATAAAATTTAATTATAAATAAATGTATATTGTTAATAGTTTAAAGCTACTTAGGATAAATGAATTTAGTTTCATGTTACATTTGAAGCCATTCTAACAAAAAAAAGGGTAATTTAGATTTATTTCATATTTTGGAGTTTGTTTTTTTTGACCAAACTGACCAACTACTTATAGAGTTAGGGTAGAGAAAATAACAGATAAAATATATAATTTTATCGAAAAAAACTTTAGAAATGTATTTAGGAGGTTTTAGAAATTACACAAATGAAATTTGAGATTTTTGAGATGAAAAAAAGTATTTTTAATCTTTACATGAAAATCACTTTGTACAAAGACTATTCAAAACAAATACTTGATATATTCAAGGACAAATCTTTTTTCAGTTTATTAAATATACTTCACTAAAAAATATGATTTTTTGTATGTGAAAGACTTGTAATGTTTACTGAAAGACTGCTGAATTTAGTGAAGATATACACACTATATCAAAAGTTAGTAGTATCAAATATATAAAGACTGTACGAGTACAAAAAGGTTGAGTGGTCAGTCAAATTGACTGAGCCTATGTTGAGAGAGTTAATGCTAAGAGATTAAGATATTTAACACGTTTTTAAGTGCCTTTTTTTCTGATATTCATAACTATTACTAGGTTCAACCTTTCTCTTCCAATTTTTGTTCCAAGGAGGTTTATTATAGGGTTTACATCAATGAAAAAATACCAAGTGTACATGATTTACAATATTTTTCAGTTGGCTTAAGGTCCTTGGGCCAACATTCAATTTTTTGTTGTTTTTGTAGTCTGATAAGTGTTTGATTTATTTGAAGCTTGATACATGCCACTAGTATATATACATTAGGGACATGTGGAACATACAAAATGTAGGTTTTCAAAATCTAATTCCCATATCAGCCGATCTTGGGCCCATAGGCACTGATTCAATATTTCACTCGCAGGCTTAATTAACAATAAATAAACATTGAAGTTAGATTGAAAATGAACTTTTGTTCGAGATATATTTTGTGGATAATTTTATAAGTTCTAAATGTGTTTTATATTAAAAAGAAGAGTTTTACCTTAATCTTTTCATTTTAAAGGAAAAATTATTTTCCATTACAGTTATTGCTGAGAAAAGTAAGCTATTGCTTACCTGTATCGGTTCATTCTAGTTTGATTATAAATTTCTCAAATAGGATTTGACTACTCATTACCAAGTTTGAAGTGGTACTGTATATCCCATGTTTAAATCATACTGTATATTCCAATTTTCGATATTTTTAACTCTAGCTTCGTACATTCCACTTGTTCGAAGACACCTTGAAAAAAATCAGCGAGATTGCTTCAGCTTTGCCTCAGGATTCTTGTACCCTGCTTAATGGAACAGATGTTTTGAGTAATGACACAACGGCAGAGAAATTCTGGGATGAAACACTTGAAGATCCTCAAGAGGTACAACATTGAAAGGCTTTTATATTGTTATCAGTAATTGTGGTAAATTATGTAGTTCCTTCCTGAGAGTGCAGCTCAAGTTAGTGATTCATTGACAAACACACTTAATGAAATAATAAAATCTATGATTTATTAGTAGCTAAAATGTTCAGCCATGTGCCTTTTTTAGGTTCTTACACTAAACTAGCTACAACAAACAGTTAAACATATGTGCTACTAATAAATCATAGTTTTTTATTATTTTACCAAAATTGTTGATTACTAAAACTTCACCTTGAAATTTTGTCATTAACATTTTTGAATAGATAAAAAAAATTCATAAGTTGTGGAAGCTTTCTAGAGAGGTTATAGTCATATTAAAGTTATCGATAAATTTCATTTAGTAAAACCATATAACCTGTTGTTTCTTTTATTTCATTAAATAAGCAGTTGTGGCTTGGTAGTTTCTGGTTGATTCCTGAACAAGTAGTTCACAAAACTGTTATGGAGTGTTAATATTTAGCCCAATATTTCATCACAAGAGTGATACCAGTTGTGGAGAGAGTGTAACTGTATTATTGAACTTTATTCTATGTTTGGTGCATTAATGTCAATATGCTGTATACCTACATTGTTTTTCCTTACAGTATGACATTACTTTTCTCTTCTTTCAATTGTATGAGATTGGTGATTTGATTCTAATGGGTGCTAATGTACAGGATATTTTGATTCATCCTGTATTATATTCATACTTTCATAAATATAACATGATTCTTAATGCACCTCTGGTGAAGTTTGGCTTCCCGAGGACAATTAGTTACTAAGCTATAATCATTTTAAATATGGGGTTTTCTTTATATACATCCTTTATGAGAGGTGGCATCAGGAGAGTGCAAAGGATGGCCTCATCACAAACTCTACTATGGGCTCAAGAATAGAACTTTGCATTAGGCCTAGAGTTTAGTACTGTAAACCAACCTTTAATTACATTTACAATGTAAAATTACCTATTAACCCATTGACTGCTGATTTGCCATGTAGGGTATGGTCTGCTCACAGCAGTTGAATGAAGTATGCTGTATATGGTGTACAGCTTGCAAAAATTCTGCACTTGTTTAGAGCAGCTACAGTCAATGGGTTAAAAGTCTACACTAGGTACTCCCTTCTGTAATATACTGTAAAGCACAATGCAAGTTATGAAGTAAGCATTCCTAGCTAGTGTTTAACAAATTAACGTGTTTGAATTTAGTTGACTGATTTTTTTTTTTGTTATTAGTAATTCTCAACATATTGGAAGTCTTTACTAGGTTCGTCATGTTCGACCTGACAGAAAAAATATAAATATAATACAGAAACTGATGTTAAGAAATTTGTTAGCCTTAGTAATTTGTCTTTATATATTTATTTATATAAATGTATGCACACTTATTTTACAGATAACTTAAGATATTCACTTAAAGAGGATACCTCTTTTTTTTGTGTGTGTGTTTGGCAGGCTAAAATTTTAAAACCCAACCCCCAATATGGTTTGTTACGAATCTGGTTAGGCATGCAGAAGACAATTTGTGGAGCTGAGAGTAATCTTCCTCCTACCCTTCCCACAGGTGGAAGTGATATCAACCTTGGTAAGATCCAAGAAAGCTTACTTGTATATTTGTTTTTTGTTGTTGTTGTTTTTGCTCGATACATAAGTGACACTTATTCTAAGCTACATTGTTCTTGTGTTTTTTATTTAAATTTTTTGCTATGTACAGATACAGATTCCTTATATCAGTTAGTTTTTAGTTAAACAAAAATTCTTTACATACATCACATGCACCAACTGAAATGTAGTACTTTTTTTTTGTTTGATGTAAAAAATGTATATAAAGTTTTCACTTTTTTGTTACACTT